GGGGGGGGGGGGGGCTACTAATAAAAATTTCCAGAATGACGGAAAAGTATGGGCGATATTCCCCCACTTTGTATTTGTGTCATATTTATCAAACAAAAAAAAATAAATGAATAAATACAAGCTATTCGACCCAGACAGCAGGCTATGTTTTAGTCAAATAACAATAGTAGAGTACTCACTTTGAATAATTCTCAGTCGCCTCCTAGATTTTATAATTGAAACTCTTGCTTACTGACTAGTCCTAGAAACAACTGTATGATGCATTTGAATTAATTTGCTCTACTTTACCTAATTCTAAATTCCCATTAAAACGTTTCTCTCAATCGTGTCCTTATACAATCAATATATTGCCAACTGATTTAGGTGACAATTTTCTGATATATATATATCGAACAAATTAATAAAAACTTTAAATTTGTAATTTTCGTTATGTGTAGATTTCATATATACACCATGCAACTAGTTACTGCGCAGCCCTCGATGGTATGTCAACACTTTACCAAGCTATTGTTTTCCAAGATGACACATATACCCTTTATAAATAATAGTTACTAGATATCTTCTTTGTAGTAAATGTTCAGTCCAAGATGACAATATCATTATACACTTACCAGTAACTATATATTCCTATGTAGTATTTCTACACTATTGTTAGCATATCGCCCAATTGTTACAACTACAGTGTTTAATTACTGGTGGTATATTTACACTGGTAGCTCTAGGTAGTATATATATATTACATCTCTGGAGGTAACATCGTTAGGGCCGTTATCCAATGTCTTGGTGACACGGAGCTCGTAACGTAAAAGACAATCCCTGTGGGATTCACCTTTACAACAGCACCAACACGTAATGTACAGGTCTCCTATATTTCCTTGATCATGTTATTTAAATGACTCAGCTCACAATGTACATAAATATATCAGTCACAATAAAAACGTAAGAGCTTGTCTCACTAGCAGGATGAAAATTAGAGAATACATAGGGACCCCTTTTCGAAAAGGCATCTGCTGAATGATAATGGTATGTTATCCTGTACATTCTAATCGAATTGACAGAGCAGAGCTTATAATTCTCTTTTATCCGCGAATTTTGCGAAATTATTTCATACATGATATAAGGTGTCATTTTCATGTAAATTATATAATTTCATTCTGCTTGTTCGAATGTTAATGAAGATTGTTGGAGGACTCTCTAGTGAACTGAATCATGCATCTGTTTCGTCATCCTATGACTTGTCAGTGATGCTAGGGACCTAAAGTTTGACGGTTAGGAGGCTAAATGACATATGATCTGGCACCAAACAAAAGATAGTATAGAACGATATATAATGGAACTTTTTAGTGGGCCTCACACGACTTACTATTCATACAAAAGTAAAGAAACGAATTTAGACGTTCATAGTACCAATTATTTGGCAACATTTAATGCAAAAATAGTATTGACAGGGTAGCAATGTGACAGATGAGTATAACATTGGATTAAATATCCTCTTCCAAAGCATTTTACAATATTTTTTATGTTTCAAATGTTTGCATTACATCTGTAAGGTAAAACTAATGATAAAGCTCTTCCTCACTAAGGCAGCGTTATGCTCGTTAACTAAACATCATTACGAGTGTATATTGTAATGTAACTGCTTTACTAGATGAAGTGCGAAATAGAGTATCCGTCAAGAGAATAAGGAAGCAGAAATGAAGATACCAGCCAATTGAGATTCAGATCGAATGATTAAACAGTAATTTGCTATTGACGACAAGATCGATCTCTGTTATAACAATAAACCTCCTGGGGAGTGTAAAGGGATTCCACCGCTGGGAGATTGAGGAGATATAACCAGAAACAAGAAGTTTAACCAGGAAATGGCGTGACATTTTAATGACTTTCTCGTGTTTATTGACCATATGCAGCAATAAAATGTTTTGTTATGAGAAAGACCAAGAAGTTGTCAATGACATCATATGAAATACAACAAAATATTTTGTGAACAAGTGTTAAAATACCTTGTAATTTGATCTTGTCAAAACAAGTAATGATAATCTGATAGTAGACATTTTTGTCGTGAACAAAACAGTATAACCTGCTATAATAAACAACCCTTGTCGTGGAAGGTCACAATATCAGTATATCATGGTGTCAAGATAACAAAAATATCGTGTTAGTGATATTTTACCACATGACCAACTCCCAATTGTAGGCTGATTGAACATCTGATTCGGTTTGATCTGAGGCCATTGTCACAGACGCTTCATGGACACCAAGTCCTTCGGGTATTTGGAAGGCAAATGCAAACACTAAAAAGGTCATCGCTTAATATTTTACGATCTAGTATCTCATTTGCAAATCTATCTAGACAATATCTGTCTAATTCACTCCCAACTGTTGTCACAAACCTTGGCTTTTCAATTAGTATGTTTTATTGTCCTAAACAGCACAATTTGTCATGAATGATCACTAAAGGATTACACCTGATAAAGTAAGGTATAAGAACATCAATAATTATTAAATTAGAAATTTCGCTAAGTCACCAGTGAAATACCCAACTGCTCAAATACGTAATAATACACTCAATGTATAGTTATCAGTTAAATCATTAATTTTCGTGGGGAGTTATTTCCGTTGATTTTGTAGGCATTCTTAATTTACCTAATAGATCTTATCGTCACAACATAGAAAGATTTCTGCGAATTATCAGGTATAATTTGATTACGTTATATTAAAATGTTTTTTGTGTTTGGAAATGCATATATATTAGTTTCTGCTGTCTTTTCGCTTTAAACAATTTAAAACACATGTAGTGATGACAATAAACATGTCCTATCAATATGTTTACTATTGACCCTTCCGCTATAAATCAGAGAGGAAATATACTTTTGGTATCAGTATCATCCCTTATTTTCCTGGATCTAACAACTATCAGGTAAGAGTCAGAGAGAGTAACTCAAAACTATTATTTACGTTCAATTAAAACTAATGCCACATTAAATCTCTACTGTCTGAAATTGAAAAGATACTACTATTGCTGTTTAATCTTAAAATAAAAAAGGAAATCTAACTTCTAAGTCGGAGCTGAACAGAAAACTATTTCAACAAGTTAAACTCAGGACTCTTTAACCTTATTACATGTACCCAACAGAATCTATAGCCTTTAACCTCAGTACATGTACCCAACATAATATTTAACCTTTAACCTTATTCCATGTACCCAACAGAATCTTTAGCCTTTAATCCTATTACCTGTACCCAACATAATCTATGGCCTTTAACCTCAGTACATGTACCCAACAGAATCTATAGCCTTTAACCTTATTACATGTACCCAACAGAATCTTCAACCTTAAACCTTATTACATGTACCCAACAGAATCTTCAACCTTAAACCTTATTACATGTACCCAACAGAATCATTAACCTGTAACCTTATTACATGTACCCAACAGAATCTTCAACCTTAAACCTTATTACATGTACCCAACAGAATCTTTAGCCTTTAATCCTATTACCTGTACCCAACAGAATCTATGGCCTTTAACCTCAGTACATATACCCAACAGAATCTATAGCCTTTAACCTCAGTACATATACCCAACAGAATCTATAGCCTTTAACCTCAGTACATGTACCCAACAGAATCTTTAGCCTTTAATCTTATTACCTGTACCCAACATAATATTTAACCTTTAACCTTATTACATGTACCCAACAGAATCTATAGCCTTTAACCTCAGTACATGTACCCAACAGAATCTATTGCCTTTAACCTCAGTACATGTACCCAACAGAATCTATAGCCTTTAACCTCAGTACATGTACCCAACAGAATATTTAGCCTTTAATCTTATTACCTGTACCCAACATAATATTTAACCTTTAACCTTATTACATATACCCAACATAATATTTAACCTTTAACCTTATTACATGTACCCAACAGAATCTATAGCCTTTAACCTCAGTACATGTACCCAACAGAATTTCGAACCTTAATACTTGTACCCAGCAAAATCTTTAAACTTTATTCTTGTACCCAACAGAAATTCTAACCTTAATTCTTGTACCCAACAGATTTTTTGAACCTCAGTACATGTACTTAACAGAATCTTCAACCTCAGTACATGTACCCAACAGAATATTTAACCTCAGTACATGTATTTAACAGAATCTTCAACCTCAGTACATGTTCCCAATATAATTGTATAATTTCAGATCCGAATAAAAGATAATTCGTCAACATATTTCACTAAAACGTACATAAAGATGGTGATTTTTTCAAATTGTGTAGCATAAATATTCCCGTGTGACTAGTATCTAGTAAAGATATATAACCTAATTAACAGAAAAAATAACAATTACTCTCCGGAAAGAATTCCAACAGGGAACATTTAACACACGTTAGTGCCCCTTGTAACAAGGACGACAATAAACACGTCGTTATACTATTTTTTACATACCATTTGAAGGAATGGTCTATGACGCCTTCAGAACTGCTAAATGACATTCATCAAGAGAATTGGTACATCGTAAACTGTATCTTTTATACGACTTGCTTCGCCGCGATAGTAAGGAATGTACTATTAAATATACATTGTCATGGAAATCTTCTAAAGTATTTGTCTCGACCTGATAGCAAGGTTATAGGAATATATATCGAAGGTGAAATTTTCTTTAAACGCAATTAAATATAACTGAAAGTTAAAGTTAATCATGCGCTTTAATAAAAAAAATGACAAAGTTTTACGCTTTGTTTTGTAAAAATATCTATCAATTAACTAGTATCTCTAGTAATGAGTAGATTTCGTCACAACATGAATTGAATTATCAATAAAGTTCGTACTTCTCATATAGCATATAATATATAAGAATATAACCAGAACGTGTGAATGTTCTGGCCAATACTACAAATTGGTTGAATTAGTAATACTTTGTTAGACTAATATATTCAATTTGTATGACAGGAATAAAGTAAGGACAAATTGAAAACATTGGTAACATATGCCTACCTGCATTTCTGGATTCGTAATGTCCGCTGACTCGGGGATAAACTGTGACATTGGAGCAGCACCGGACATCTTTTCTCCTAACAAAGTTAGTGAAATGAAAATGGCAAATATCGTGTTGATGAGAGCCCCTGGCATGTTGTCAATGATGCGGTTTCCTGAGTATCTGTCCTCTTACGATGTTCCTAGGGCAGTTCGACAGTGGTGTGTGCTCGGTACTGTTATATAGTGCTTGTAATTGGTGAGGTGAGCCTACGTAGGCATGTGTAAGTGCTGGCCAATCGTCACTGAATTACAGATCATTAACACCATCTCAGATGTAATTAATAGTCCCAGATCGCTTTGTTAAAACGTACGTGCAATTTCTCTCTGTCAATTAATAAATATTAATGCTTTATGCTATATATGAGGTTGGGAATGGCTAAGGTCAGCGGTTTGCGCACAGTTGTCAAGGATAATGATACGATGGTCTGAAAAAGATAACGGACTAGCGGGTGGTTACGGTGGCCAAAAAACCTTGAAACAGTTACTATAGCAACAATGGAGGAAACTATCAACGGCCTAACAAAACCACACAGGTAAAAAACATCAGCAATAGAAGACACGAGAATGAACTTCACTAAACACACTCTCTACCATTCTACAGGTCACAACATTATCCTAATGATTGTCACAGCAGTCACAGCATCAACTACAATGGTCAGCGGTCAACTAGTCATTAGGATCATGTTGTCACGGCCATTAAAGCCAATATAATCAGACTCACTCATAAACACTGCATCGTCAGTCGTATGGCCAAACAACAACGGAAAAGTCTTCAACTAAACTACTTCATACTCAAACTAAAACGTTAAAGTTCTCAACACCTCATTTGCAGACGTATCGGATGTTTGAAGTATTATATTGGAACGCCTGGAGAGTCGATTTAACATTATACTATTCTTGTATTGCAATGACGAAAATGTGAATTGTTATACTGAAATTCTAAACCCCCAACAGTGTAATTATGTTGCTGCAGCAACGAAAATGTACATTGGCATGCCTACATTGTACAAATAAAAACCATTTCTGAAAAAAATTGCGATCGTCAAACCATCAAATGTGACTAAGAAGTTAGTACATTTTTGTTATGGTGGTTGGTGTGATTTGGATATATGTTTTTGATTTATCAGCTTATAGTAGTCGCAGCCTACTACCTTTTCTAAAAAAAATTAAAAATGAATAGTTCTTCTTACAAATTGTAATATTCAGTATGATGAACTTTAGTCTATCTATCCGTGATTTCATTTTTTGCTGTGTTCGAAGTCAGAACTCCATATATAAAAAAAAAATGTAACTTTTACGACCCGTGTATGTGTTGGCCTTTGGTATGGTTTTATATTCAAACAACAGAGCGATAGATATGAATTGGTCGCATGATTTTTCACATGCCGCAAAAGGCGACGTGTCCGCGACATTACTGAGTGAATGGAGTTTTAGCATTTTAGGGTAGTGATCAGCGACCTCGCATGTATGTGTGGTGTGTGTGAAACTTAGGTCGCATTTCCATATCGTTATTTTCATATGACGACCGCAATGAAAGTAGAGTTATGAATAGTTGACTCGGCACTAATGCATGTCAGCTACGACCTCCAGACCTTGTATGATCTATATGGCAGTTGAGGTCATTCATAATATTGGAAAGACGCTCGACTTAAGTATAAATTTTAGACCTGTATCGAAGTTATAGATCTGCGGTAGTAGTAATTCATGTCATTCATGTCCTCATGAAATTCAGTCTCCACTCCCACAGGCGAGAGTAACCGATAAATTGTCCGTTGTTTCCGGTTTTACTGAGAGCGTCATTTGCTATCATGATGTTAATAACATATGTCACTAAACATTAATGTTGTAATATATACAAAGAATAGAAGTTCTTATCACACAACCAGTAGAAGTGTTATAAGAACGTCTATTTCTATCAAAATTACCAACCTGAAGAAAATGTTACAAAATATCGATACAGTTTAAATAAAGTCTAATCAAAAGTGAACCAGCTCCATATTGCTGTAAATTATAACACCAATGGAGAGATAAACATGCGTTGTTTTACCTATTCGTTATTATTAGATTTGATTTCGGAAGTATAGTGGAACAGCCAATAGGGTTACTTTTAGTCGCCACGAACATGCAGTATATACTTTTCTCATTGTTTCTGCGATGGCCCTTTAACAGAAGGAATGGGAGATACCAATTAGTCGGCTCTTATGCGTGAAATACAGCAACCATGCTCTTCCCCATCCCCTGCGCGGGTTTTGTAATTCTGTTTTATAATGCACATATAATTAATTATCAGAAATGGTGATGATATGTTTGTGTCAATGGCAAAGCGACAGTTAGAATTTCGGGGCTAAATAAAACAAAAAGTTGATTAGTTCTTCAACGGTTCTCCTCGAGTGTCAGGGTTTTGGGGCTACGGTCAATAGTACTATGTTTTAGAAAATCATTGTCAGTGCTCCAGCGGCTTCAATACTTTAGGGATTCTCATCCAAATTCACACACTTTTTAACCATTATATCTTGGAGCCAATCAAGTTTTAAGTTTGTGTCGTCAATTTCAAGGTCAACATTACTGTTTTTAGAAAATTTTCATCAACAGTCCGGCAGCTTTATTCCTAACATGATATTGATGAATCCTTTCATTCTTACAAATGACCATAACCTATTATTACACATCGGTAATGAAACCATATTGTCACATTTTTATATGTATTTCTTATATTGTTCCATTAAAATCAGTTACAAAATAATTGTATGCTTTCCGTTTTTTTCTAAATCAACACCAAACAACACCTTTTTAAATCATTACCGTGTAACAGCTTGTAGGAGCCGGTAGGAGACATGTATTACTTTGAGAACGTGACATTACGTACTTGAATTGACAAAGGTTTACATGGAGTGTACCGTCGTTGAAGCAGAAGACGCTTACTTTCCGGAACGCTAGGTCTTATTCTTCATGTATTTTTTCAAGAATTCCTGTGTAAAACTTTGTTTTTATTTTGCTCATTTTTTATGAATTTGAGTTTGGATATGGTCATGTTGACATGTTAATATTGTTTTTTAGCAATGCTTTATTTAATTTTTTAGGGCATTTACGCATAAATTAATATCTCGTTGGCCACTCCTTTGGTATGCCCTTTGATATTGCAATGCTCATCTCCGACAACAGTTGTCATACGCATGATCTATAGAGTCAGCGTGCCCGCCATCATGTGATATTGACACAGCTTAATTGCGTATATATCATGATCTGTGCCAATAATAAACACATAACGTTGCTCAAACAAGGAGTATCCACCTCAATTCTTACATTTAATATCATATTCTTCCGATATTTGATTTCCTGTAGATAGTCGATATGGGTTTGTCGGTTTGTCTGTAGGCGGCGTGCGGGTTAACATCAACATCTAAATAGGTTATTTCTAACTACCGAAATTACATGTAATGTCATGTATATAACCATAATGATGATCGTTAGCGCAGTTATCACTAGTGGTACATGCAAACATTTTAAATTGATGAAAATGCTGTGATGTATACATAAAATAATGGGAAATCTCTCTCTCTCTCTCTCTCTCTCTCTCTCTCTCTCTCTCTCTCTCTCTCTCTCTCTCTCTCTCTCTCTCTCTCTCTCTCTCTTATTGAGTATATATAGAACACACCTGTAAGGAAACCACGTGCTATTTTAATACAAATAGGTGAACATCGTGTGAATGACCGTGACACAGGCAATAATGACAGTGACACAGGTAGGGGAGGAGAATTGCTTTTTCAAAATGTACAAAGTTAAATTTAATGAAAGTGATAATTCCGTTTCGAGACGTTATCTTCCATTGAATACAGAATATTGAATATCATAGACGCACGCATCTAATAAAAAGCCAAACTCTTGTTGAATTAAAATTTGTTCTGAATCGCGGTTAATGAAGAGAGTTAACCTACAACAATTGCTTTAATTCATTGACAAGGATTGTTGATTTGGGATGTCAGATGATAATATGGCTAACTAAGCTTTTTGCAGACTTGTTAGATTTTTAAAAATTCCTGACAAATAGTTCATTAACTGGTTTTATTGTACATAATTCTAAATTTGTATTGAAGGTGCTACTTAATTCTGTCTGTTATACGGTTGTCTGCCAACACGTTCCTGAACGCGTTGTGAACTTGAAAATGACTCGAAGACATGAAGTCGTTCAGAGCGAAATAGATGAACTATTAAAAAGTGTAGCTATGGAAACGTCACACTTGAATCTTCTACCTGTTGTTTTACTTGAATTCTACTAATAGTAGCAACCTGTAGAAAATGTTTCAAACTTGTCAAAGATGTGCGAAAGCTCAGGATTCTTGAAAGGAAATTAGGGAAACACAGAAATCACCTAGTGTTTACGCTGAGCATATCATTTCAACCAGTAACATTGTAATGACAGCAGACTTATAAATTATTGTCGCATAAAAATGTCCCGAAGGCTGAGAAAAGGGAGCGTCAATCTCAAATGGTTTTCAGCAAGTATTTCATGTATCACCTTTTTTTAAAATAAACAAACATACAATATTTAATTTGTTGTAGTTCTAAACAGATCTGACTAGATCGATTTACAAACATTAGCTCGACCATGATTAAACTAAAACAGGTTTGCTTTTTATTAGCATTACAGTAAGAAATATTTGTGTATCTTTCAAAATCGACAAGAAGTATTGCAAACCAAGCAATAGAATTTTAATCATAGCATATATTTTAGGTGAACAGCCTGCAAGTGTATTTATCCATAATATGAATAAATATATGAGTATGTCAGTGACCAAGTTCCCAGTTCCATATATTAAACAATCAAACTTTGTACTGACAAGAACAATTCCCCCAATTTTGCGTGTCTAAGTTGACGATAAGAATAAACACTATAAAGATTTTTTTAAAAGAGGCCAAACAGCCAGAAAGTTGCCAACTAGTGCAGATTAGCCCTTTAAGAACTTGCCCGGATTAAGCAAACGCAATTACATGCGGTCCATTTGGCTTGTACTGTCCTCCGGCAATCCAGTTCCATCTATTCAAAGTATGGTTGTACCCTTTATTCTTCAATGAAACTAAGGGCCTATATTATT